TCGGGAAGAGTACTTTGAATTTTGAGGAGGTGGTGCAAGATGTGATGACGCATCACAGGATGTCTCAACGTTCGGAGGAAAACTCTCAAGATGCTGGTTTGTTCGCAGGGAGGCGTTCAAGCAAGCAAGAAGGCAAGGGCAGCAAAAGGAATACTAAGTCCAAGGACAATGAAGGGTGCTTCGAGTGTGGATCTATGGATCATTGGAGACGAGATTGTCCGGTATGGAAGGAGAAGCTGAACAAGATGAAGAAAGCTGGAAGTTCAGCCCACGTGTGTGATGAGGACACATGTGATGAACTCTTGACGATTACGGAGGAAAGTAACGGGGAAGTCATGGCAAGTTCTTCGTGTAAGAATTCTTCTTCAAGTTGGATTTTAGATTCCGGGTGCTCATATCATGTGTGTGCAAATAAGTTGATGTTTGACACATATGAGGATAAGGATGCATGCAAGATTATGTTGGGAGACAAAACTACATGTGAAGTTTTGGAAATGACTCTGTTACTATGACCCTTACCTTATATCATAATGCGTCAGTGTTGGTTTGGAACCTTCAATCTTGGTTGTTTGAGAAATTCTAATATCATACTGCTAGCAATTTAGGTTTAGGATTATAGACTGCGAGGATAGAAACACACGGCAGTGCTGCTACTTTTAAGCACTGCGAGAAATGTAGTTTCTAATGCCTTGCAGAAGAGTTGTGGTTTTCTACATTTGTGGTGGCGCGTCTCGTTAGGGTTTGTTCTGTCATCTAAATAGGTGCAACTGCATTTGAGTATTTTTGTTACTTGGTTCATTGATAGCAAATCAACATATATTTGATTGTTAGCTTGCTGTAACTTCCTAGCTGTTTGTTCACAATTAGTAATTAGGGAGGACTATTAGAGGGATGAACAAGAATATATTGTGTGTTGCTAGCAAGTACGTGAATTGAATGTGAATAATTTCTAAAGACCTCCCTAGATCAGTTTTAGAACATTCGTGGTGGCGCGTCTCGTGTTATGGCAGTCATTTTCCATTGTACTTCTGTAAAAGACATTGCAGGTCCCAATGGTTTCCTTTGAATTTTGAGGCGGGACAAGCCTTTGGTTCTAAGGAAGACATAGGCATAAGACGAGGCAAGCAATTAAAGCAGTAAGATTGAATTCCAAGCAAAAACTTAAATGAAATATCAGTAAGATTGAAGACATAGGCATAAGAGGTGGCAGTAGTTTTTCACTTTCATAGCAGAACAGATAGTAGAGGATGTTGCTAGCTAGCCTAGCCATATAGGAAATAATTCAAAGTAAGTTAAAACAGATGATGCTCATGAGCAAACTAAATCAAAAGGTTATTCCAATCCAACTTCAACAGATTTATTCGATATTCTTCATCTCCACCACATCCACACCACCAGTTCAAGTTGAGTCTCAGTCAGTTGACTACCTTGAGAGTTTGATACTCTTTGTAAGTGATGGCTGCTTCCATGAGATGGTGCGGGCCAAATTCCCCACCATTTTTCAAGAAGGACTTGAACATATTATGGGAGAAGCCACTCAATATTGTGAAGCCTGGATGTTGTGTACAAATCCAGGGATCTTCATCCTCGTTGAAATACTGCTTTATTCATCTCAATCATCTTCTCTATATTTGCTGTAATTTCAATTTGAAAATTGAACAGAGGTTGGTTGGTTGGTGCTCTCTCTCTGCTGGGAGGACTGATTGATTTTCTTGGCTAGAGTTGTTGGAGAAGATGATTCTAGAATTAATACAAAACGTACGCCCTAGAATGATTATGGATTCTGTTAGTGACTTGGGCAGCAAGGAGTTTCCCTTCCCCCTTTATTAGTTACCACAAGTAATAATTTGACTAATGTTAGTGTTTTTTTAGCAGTTCTAGCCCACATGCCAGCAGTCCCAAGAGTCTTGGCTTAGAGTTCTTTCTCTCTGTATTTATCTTTGTATGTTTCCTTCTATATCTTCTAGGATATATCTTGTATATCTCTTGTATATCTCAGGTGGAGGGTTTCAGTAAACTCAAAAATTGGTTGGTGCTGTGCCATTGTCAAGAACCCGAACATGTGGAGCTGGGTTTGGGACTTTTGGTGTCTGAACTGAGTGAAGAGCCAAGGAAAGGAAGGCTCATTGGTGGAGAAGAAGATGAGCCAGACAGGATACAAGGCGATCATGATCTTAAGTCCAAGTGCGAGTTGATCATGATCTTAAGTCCAAGTGTGAGTTGATCATGTGGAAGTGTAGTGTTTTGGGGGCTTTTGATTTAATTTTGGAGGTGGTTGTGAATGCGAATTTGAAGGCAGAGCAGATGATCAAGAAGGTGATTGTGTTCACCGAACTACATCCACTTGATAGCCGCACCTGATATCTTGTTCAGCACGAGTTACTAGAAGATATAGAAGGAAATATACAAAGATATCATTCGGAAGCAAAGATATATCTTGTATATATCTTGTATCTATCTCCTACATCCACCTGCTTTTGCTGCTGCTTTAGGTACAAGTCCTCCACCATTGCCTTCCACTGAAGCTCAGCCGCTTCCCCGACATCCTCATCTTCTACATATTTTATGATCTCATTCGGAAGCAAAGCATCCGGATTTATTAAATTCCCTCCCCCTCCTGCTTTCACCTCCAAGTACTTCTTAACCACACAGTCCCCTCGGATTTTAAAGTTTGATTGACGGTTGTAGTAATTGGTCAAGGGCACCAAATTCTCTTTCCTTAGCCGTTCCCACTCTTCTGTTAGATCTGATTCTGGCGGGAAAAGCTTCCTTGCAATGCTTTCATTCAGAAAAATGGCTCCGTACTTTTCCTCCTCTGTGTTGGTGCAACACTCTGCAGCCCCTGATACCAAAAGACCAGCATCAATTTCGTCCTCGCCGATTTCGAGGCCGCCATCAGTTAAATAATCAGATGGCTTCATTTTTAGCTTGTGCTGCTTCATTTTGTTGATATCAGACTTTAACCGATCCACGAAGAGATCAATAACCCCGTCATATAACAACCTATAACCCGGGTCACCGTCGTACCTCTCAGGATGAATATGCACATTCGCAGCAGCGTGTTCGACTTGGTCTTCTTCGCCGCCTCGATTATAAACTAAAAGGTTGTGCAGAATATCGACAAGTCTATCCAAACTCCAATCCCAAGGCAAGTCGGCGATAGAGTGGAGATTTCGTAACAGAGTCTTGGGGTGGTTGTGGAGGAGCCAAAAGATGGCCGTGTCGAACTTTCTGTAAGAAAATAAGTGAGACTCGACGCTGAAGATGAGCTTGAGAGTGGTAAGGGGATTGTGGGACCAGGCCAAGGGAAGGATTTGCTTTAGATATACAAGGCTATGGTTAGTATCTATGTCCCATGGTCTGAGGGAGTTGGAAAAGAGATCAAGGCAGGGGTCGCCGGAGGAGGGAATTAAAGGGCAGATCTTTATATTTTCCTCGATTAAAGGGCACATCTTGTTGTTGGCGATGTCAGCGTTGGAGTGGGAAGTAGCCATTAAAGGGTAGCTTCTTCTCCTTCTTTGGATTTGGATTGGGATTGGTGTGGGTACAGCTACTAGTAATGTGCCTTTGCCGACGACATTGACACGGTTTCGGAGCCATCCTCCCGCTGATCCTGCTGCTGCTTTGTTCGGTGGTGTTGGAACAACCCTCGCACTCGTCAGACACACTTGCCCCGGCACCACTGGTTTATTCATCTGAATCATCATCATCTCTCTGATTTCAAATTGAACAGTGGTTGGTTAGTTGCTGCTCTCTCTCTCTCTCTCTCTCTCTCTCTCTCTGTGTGCGTGAGCCTCGAGCCTTGACTGATGAGTTTTTTATTTTGTTGGAGGCGATGACTCCAGGGCCGTAAGCAGCGGAAGGAGAAATTATACAATAGTACGGTAGTACCATCTGGCAATTGACACGTGGTACTACGTTCCACTAAGCTTGCGACATGTGGATGTAATAAATTTCTCTCTAATGACGTTTGTTTCTCCAAAACCTACGTCTCTTCCTGTTTACACCCAAAATAAACGGCCAATGAGAGCAAGACACGTGGAGGAAACTGGGCTTGGTCAGAGGCGCCCTCGGCACTCTGCCTACCGATCACTCCGTTAGGGCAACGCCCTCTCCTGGGACACGTGGCACGCTCCCAAGCGACGTCCACAATCCCACATCGAAATTATCAACAAATGCACACCTCCCAAGACCTATAAAAGGAGGCCAACTATCCCAAAATGGAGGTAATCAGAACTTACGGCATACAAGCCTATTGATCTGTCAGTTGAACTTTCTATTCCCGAACTTACTGAAGCATCAGAGAGCTTTCAGCCGGTACCACACCGGTGCCCTAGGTCTTACCGTGCGTTTGCTCATATTGCAGATCACGTTGACTACCGAGGCATCAAGGATACTGAAGGCATAAAATTACTAAGTTGACCCCCAAAGTCAGAGAACCACTTTTTGGCGTCAACA